ATTTGTATTATAAAAACATAATTAGTGTTGTAATATTTGTTGATTACACAAATATTTTTTCTTTTTTCCGAAACGATAGAAGTATTATATAACGCGCTCAAATGTGCAAAAGATCAGCCACCGGCTGAATACAAACAGTCAACAGCTGAATACAAGCAGCCAACAGCTGAAAAGTGGGAGGACATGTCAGAAGACCGCCTTAGATAACCGACCCAAACGGGGTAAAATACAGAAACAACTAAAAACTACAAACAAATACAAAGACTCCAACAGGGTAATATCCGAGTGTAGGATCCTAAAAGGATAATAAAGTTACACTCCGGCAAACTGAGGCCAACGGCCCAGACCAAAAGCATAATCACTCAACCTAAAAAACATACAAAAACACTTAACTACTAATAAAAAAAAAAGCAACAGAACTAAGCAAGCCTTTCCAAAGAAGCAACACCTAACCGAACCAGCGAAAATAAGACGACTGTGAATCCCTCTGCCAGATGTACCGACCCCGAAACTGTCTAAACCACTCGGTTGACTAACGGTGACGACACCCTAGCCCCGGAACAACACCAAGCCACCCCGCACCACGGCCATAACACCCAATTGCTTCGAACCGACAAAAGAATGCCATGGCCCCAGCCCCAACCCAAGAAACGCCTTGAAGCTGACCAAAACCCCCACAACACCGCATCACCTGTCCGACCAACACCTAGGGCAGAAAAACGGACGACCCCTTCAATAGCTACTTATTTCGCCAAAAGGAAGAACAAAAACACTACTAATTGAATGAAAAAAAAAATGCTAAAAAATCATTGATTAAAGTTTAATGAACTCAGAAAATAAGATGATTCAATCTATTATACATTGGCTTATTGAATCTAACCATCGTGATTAATATTTTTTTCTCAAAGTAAAAATATTAAATAAATCAAATCTAAATGCAGTCTAATGGAGAAGTTAAACATCACTAATTAACCACAATGTATTTATACACATTTCAGTTGCATCACTCAAAATAATAAGATTATCTTTTATGTTAAAGAATTTACACGTATCACCAATGATGATTGTTGAGTTATTAACTTAAACATATATTGATTAACGTATCTACAAGAACCTAAGTTTCTATACATGTATCGAGGTAGTCAAGTTATTGGAATTTTTATAATGAATGAAAGTGAATTAATTAGATGCATGAAGATGAAGATGAATGTGAAAATGTATCTTAGTTATTAGGGGAGCTTAGAGGGTACTTTTATACATATATATTTATCCTACGATGGTGTCAATGGTGTCTTTTCTAAGAAGTGGTGTCATTTCTAAGAAGTGGGAGTAAATAGTTCAAGAAAGAAGAAGAATCAAAAAATAAATTTTTAGTTTCCTCCATTTCTTCTTTCCATTTTCTAACAAATCGTAATCAAGAGTCATTTTGGTTTGGAGATCGAGGCTTGAAAAAAATATCGAATGGAACAACATTTGTAATTAAATCACTTAAAAAAGAAAATTATAACAATTGGTTCATAAGGATAAGAGCTTTACTTGGAGCATATGAATGTTGGGACTCTGTAGAGAAAGGAGTAAATGAATGTTAAGCGGCCAGGAGGTAGAAGGGCCAAAAGACGCTCACAATTATCCATCAAAGTTTGGTTCAAAAGATGTTCCAGAAAGTTGCTACAGCAACCACCTTCAAGCAAGAATGAGGAATTATTTAAACTTCATTCAAAAGAGTAAACAAAGTGAAGAATGTGAGTCTCCAAATATTAAGGGCTGAATTTGAGTCGCTCCGCATGGAGGAGTCCGACTCAATTCCATATTATATCTCCAGAGTCTCCAAATATTAAGAGGTATCGAAAATATATGAAAGATGATCGAGTATTAGAAAAAATTCTTAGATCATTGGATTTAAAATTCAATTACATGTTTGTTTCCTTTGGAAGAAGCGATAAACAATCTCCAAGATTGGTTCCCAGACACCAATTATAATTCAGAATATTGGGCCCTATTGTTTGTTGTACTCTTTTCTCTCTTAGTTAATGAGTTGTTTACCATTGGATTTTCAACTTAGCAAAGTTATTATCAAGACAACAAGTGTAATATATAAATTCACATTTGTCCATTACTCTTTTGGTTAACTACGTTTTCCTATTGAGTATTGTAGCAAGATTTTAACGAGACATAGATATAATGTGGTAATTTCTAATGGCGTGTATTTAATTAATTGACTTATGGAAATGCCAATATATAAATGTAATACCATTAGGTCCTACCAATATATATATATATATAGAGAGAGAGAAAATGGATCATATGAGAATGGTAGATAGTGAAAGAAATAAGAATGAATTTGTGCCGCTGGATCTATCATATAAATGGTTATGATCATGTCAAAAATTAGTCAATCATTAATGGCAATACAGTAAATTAACATACATTGTGGTGAAATGCACACATTTAACCAATAATTAAGGGAATATGGACATTACACATTTACCACACATGACAATGGGCCCCACACACACCATTATCGGTCAAATATCTCTCTCTCACTATTTCTCTCTCTCTCTCTCTCTCTCTCTCTCTCTCTCCATCTCTGTATATCTCTCTCGCTTGTATCTATCTCTCCCTCCCGCACCGTCGCTCACACAACCTCACGACGGCGATTGATGGCGGAACCACGAACCCCATGCCAGCAGAACAACTTCGGTCCACGTCGACGTCATCCCCTCCTACGGCGTCACAACCTCCACCGTGGAACTCAGCGCCGCCGTCGAACAAGCTTTTTCCGACGATTCTTCCGCCTCTGATTTTCGTCGCCGGACTTCGTCATCACGTATAGTTTGCTTCCTCCGCCACTTGTCTTCTCCACAAATTGTAAATACCTAAATTGTGCACCAATGGTAAACACCTAAATTCATATTTCGGTAAATCGATTTAAGGTTTGTGTTCGTTTTTAGTCCGGCTGGGGCCGACTGATGGTCATCGACATGTTTCCCGGTCTCCAGTGGACTGTTCGAGTGAAGGTGGTCATGCTATTGCGGCCTGCGTGTGTTTGAGACTGGGGGCATGGTATTTGGAAATTAGATATCTTATAGGGGCTTGTTTGCAAATTAAGAAAATTAAGTATATTTTCAATTGAGTTCATGTGTTAAATAGGTAATTATTAAAAATTTAAAAGTACACAATATTTTCAACTGGTGGGAATCAGTTGGTGGCAGATTTCACTAATTTGTCATACTTATTGAGTTTTCAATTTGAAATATGTTAAGCAAATTTGGTCTCTGTCATACTTATCAAGTTTTCAATTTAGAATAAGTTAGCAAATTTGGTTTCGTCAAATGACATGACAATAAAACCGTACTGAAATATAATA